AGGCATGCTCAGTAAATAATGTTTGCACTAAAAAAGACTTCTACAAACACTCAACAACACTAATCATGGTGAACGTTTAACCCAAAACTACTAGATCACTTCAGTAATATAACAAAAATTTCCCATTATGAAAAAAAAGTCCCACTTCATTTTTTATTTTTCGTCTCGTTAAATAAATGCAAAAAAAAAAAATCTTCCCTGCAAAATCGAAACATATTTTTTATTTATCGTTAAAAATTACAATTTTTAAATCTTTTCTCATCATGCTGCTGTTTGGTCAAAGGCCTACTAATATATAATATTCTTCTTCTTCTTCTTCTTCTTCTTCTTCTTCTTCGTATTATTATTATTATTGTTCTTGTTACCTCTAATGTCTTTCATCGGCCTACTATGTCTTTCTCCCTCTCTCTCTCTCTATATATATATATATGTGTGTGTGTGTGTGTGTGTGTGTGTGTGTGTGTGTGTGTGTGTGTGTGTGTGTGTGCGTTTAAATAGGATATAGAATCCCGACAAAGTTTTAAGAAATTTGACAAATGAAAAACGACTCATTGAAACTAGATTTGATTACGCGTTTCGCCTTTCTAGGCTTCATCAGATCCAAAAACGAAAGAAATGTGTGTATGTGTATATGCTTCCGGCAGGAAACAGATACTACATCCGCTGCATCCATCACGACGGAAAAAAAAAAAAAACAGAAACTTCTCCTCCACTGCCAATTCCTCCGGAAGAATCCGAGGAGAGAGAACCGTCTTCGGACAAAGCCCAGTTCAGTTGTGTCCTTATCTTCGGGATGAAAACAATATTGAGACATCTCAGTACCTTCCTCATTGCAAAGGTGTAGGGTATCGGAAGTATTACCGATACTAACGTAGCCGAAAGGTGCAAGGGATGGGCTAATTTTGGAACTAGCCCGGGTACACGCGCTAGGGTTCCCCATAATTAAACTGACTTAAATACACAGTGTAGTAGTTTATCTTCACCTCCCTGTCGTGTTTTTGTCTTTGGACAGAAGCCTTGATGAATGCTTGATTCCGGGGATTCCAGCTCTACGGCAGCACCTTCCTCATTGCAATAATGTCAGTGGTCGTGAGGACTGGGTAATTTTTGTCCGTGGCCCATATGTAAGTATCTGCACCCCACATTAAAAACGAACACATGTCACCACCCCCCGCCACCGAGGAGTGAATAGATATCGGATTAGATCATCAACTTAAATCATTATGGCAAAATGAATGGCTCTTCAAATACTCTATACTTAACTACTTTGAATCGGAGAGCAGAGTTCCAATTCCAGTCGGGTTTATTATATTTACTTACGTACAAATACCCTAGGGAAAGGCATGAATCCATTTCTTCTCCCCCAGCTATGGGTTAATTAGTAAAACTCGTATCAGTAAAGCATTATTATCTCTAAAAAAAACACATAAATCTGTGTACAAAATTATTTAGATTTCGGTATTAAATAACCCATAGAGATGTTGATATGCTGCTAAACAAAAACAACCAAACTTAACTACCTTGTATTTTTATATTTTTACCATTCCACAATTGAATCAATAATCTTTGTTTATGCGTACTCTGGGTATCTACATTTGGCATAAGTAATCTTATTACCATTTACTGTGAACTTTTGTATCTTGTGTGTTTGCCAGAAGTCATATATGGAGAGTGGAGAAAAGAAAGATATAAACAACTCATATAGAGAGATTTGGAAAAAGAAAGATGAAAAATTATTATCGTGCATGAAGTGGGGGATAGAGCCGATTTTTTTACAAGAAAGTGAATAAAACACACGAAACCCGGCCCCAAACAGGCTACGCACAGTTGTCATCAAGGTCTACGCCACTCTTGCTTGTGAACTTCACGACCTCATGCTAAAGGCGCCAGCACTGACAAACTTCAGAGACCGCTTCAGACTACGGTATCATCGTCCGCAGTAAGAAACAAATTCTCTTTTGTATCCTCTTTATTATGAACCACGCACACACCTGTTGATTTTTTCACACAAACGCACATATAACTTTTCATTGTTTCTCACATACGTACTCAAAGAGAATTTATATTTTATTTCAGATTTTTATTAACCCAAACAAAAAGACGTTACTTCCTAATCTATGACCAATTGCTTGTATTGTCGTTATATTTAATTAATGTTCATTTGTTGTAACTACGTTGTCTTTTCTATTGAATTTTATTCTTCCAATGAAAATCGTTTGATTATTCTAAACGGCCGAATTACACGCAGCCCCGAAACAATATTTTGTTATTGTATCGAATTCCAACACTCCGAATTTTGACATTCCAAACTCTTATTGTTCGACTTTCTTCAAAGACATTTTTTGATGTTAAAAGCAACTTCAATAACTGCAAATAAATGTATTTTTAAACTATCTCTGCTTTCACAAACTCTTCATGAAACTAAATGGAAACAGTAAACATCACAAGGTTGACCCAACGGGTCACGGGTGGTCTAGTCTAAAGGTTTTCCATTAATTGACAGGAAAAAAAATTAATCCGAATCTTTTGGGTGCGTTTGGAGGATGTTGTTAATATTTCCCCGCTAAAATGTCAAGTATTTAAAATTAATTAACATTTTATTTTTGTCTTCATTTATTTGTTGTTGTTGTTGTTGTTGTTCATACGTTGAAGTAATAACACATTTCGCACCAACTGACTTCGTGTATTGCTTATTTCGGGTGGGTGGGTGTTTTAATGAAAATATCTGTCGACTTTCGACTCTCAAATTAACGAAATAAGCCTATTGAAAAAGTAATCAGAAAAATGAAAGTTGTTTCTTTCAGCATCTAGCCTGTTTCTTGTAAAATATAAGTCCTGGGTGTGATGCAGCAAGGCCTCTGACAGGGAAGTTTTGTGCAGCGGGAAACCTCCTCCTTTTAATTGCTATTGTTCCGGGGTCCACCCTGACCCGGTTTGGTAACACTAGCTAAAAGCAAATAGTTAACCACCAAAGACTATGAAAGTATAAAAAATACATTTTTATAGTAAAAATACCAGCAATATATTTTTATATAAAAAAATAACCAACAATACATATTTACAGCAAAATTACCAACATTACATTTTATATTAGAATTATCAACAATATATTTTATAGCAAAATGACCAACAATACATTTTATAGCAAAATGACCAACAATACATTTTATAGCAAAATGACCAACAATATATTTTATAGCAAAATTATCAGCAATACATTTTATAGCAAAATGACCAACAATACATTTTATAGCAAAATGACCTACAATACATTTTATAGCAAAATGACCTACAATACATTTTATAGCAAAATGACCAACAATACATTTTATAGCAAAATGACCTACAATATATTTTATAGCAAAATGACCTACAATACATTTTATAGCAAAATGACCAACAATACATTTTATAGCAAAATGACCTACAATACATTTTATAGCAAAATGACCAACAATACATTTTATAGCAAAATGACCTACAATACATTTTATAGCAAAATGACCAACAATACATTTTATAGCAAAATGACCAACAATATATTTTATAGCAAAATTATCAGCAATACATTTTATAGCAAAATGACCAACAATACATTTTATAGCAAAATGACCTACAATACATTTTATAGCAAAATGACCAACAATACATTTTATAGCAAAATGACCTACAATACATTTTATAGCAAAATGACCTACAATACATTTTATAGCAAAATGACCTACAATACATTTTATAGCAAAATGATCAGCAATACATTTTATCTGTAGTTGAAGCCATAAAACTATTTTCAGAACATTTAGATTCCGGCATTAAATAACCCATAGAGATGTTGATATGCCGTTAAACAAGATCAATCAACCAACCTCGAAAACCGATGATACAGAAAATGTTATCATTACTTTTTCGAGTGTTTCGAACAGTTACGATAATGATGTAAAAGCTTTAGAATGTAATTTCTCTTTTTGGTTTCAAACGAAAATCTCGGAATGGAACTGTCCACGTTTGCTACAGGCTCACGGGGAGATAATCAGTCGAAAGCTGAACAAGAAGGTTCGACCGCAGCATGTTCGGTACGGCACAGAGGAAAAAGATTTTTCTCCCTATTCCTCTTGTCCAATTAGACCTGCGGAGGAAAAGACGGCTCGATTGGCAATGAATCGCCAAGGGCGCCAGATTAGAATTAGGTCAGGCTACTGATGATGATCGATGGGACAACGACTGATTTGTTGCTTGTCGTCTGAATTCTGGTGATCTCTAGGGACATCAACGCTGCATCGCACACTGAATCTCTTGATTTGAATAATTTATTGGCAATCCACCTTAAGGAACTCAACGCGGCATCTCACATTAAATCTCTGGATTCAAATGGTCTATTAATAATTCTTCAGTAGGGAGCTCAACGCTGCATTGCACACAGAATCTCTTGATTTGAATGATCTTTTGGCAATTTCTCCTTAAGGAACTCACCGCGGCATTACACAGTGAATCTCTGGATTCCTCAGTAGGGACCTCAACGCTGGAACAATGACAGAAAAATGTCTTTAGATTTCATCTTACAGTCTTTATTTCGGGTATTGTGAATATAATAAGCATTGTTTCTTGGTGGCTGAAATAGAGGGAACGGATTTTTACAGATCGGCCAGGTACAAGTCATCTTCACGTGGTGACTTGTTTCACTATACTGAAACCACGGTAAACCAAAGAATCTGGTAAAAGAACGCAGTGTCACTGCTCTAATACTGCAACAGCACTAACCCTTTTCGGACATGTTTCTGTCTTATATTACAACTCAGACAAAGACAACTAATCATTGTCATGATTCCACGAACACGGTATTCAAACCGCCCCCTCGTCTGGTTCAGATTGGCAAAGTTCTGATCAGAACGGCTACTTTCCTAGCCTATGCAGTCCGTAAGAAAGTAATGGGGAATTTTTTAGTGAGTCTTTTTATTTATATTTGGGCATCACACTCTCACGGTATCCAGTGGTGAGGGCCTTATGGCCACATCAGATAGAAACAGCGGTTCTCGTATGATCACCGAAGTTAAGCAAGATCAAGCCTGGTCAGTATCTAGATGGATGACCGCTTGGGTGTGCGAGTGTTGTAATGGATAATGGCTCAGAATTGTTAACCAGTGAGCCGAATTTCAATTCACCAGAAAGGTATGAATCCACATTTCCCCCCAGCTACGTGTTAATTAGTAAGACTTGTATCACTAAAACCATTTTTATATGCATTGTATACAAAATATTTAGATTTCGGCATTAAATCACCCATATAGGTGTTGATATGCCGCTAAACAAAAACAACAACCCAGTTAATCCAGTAGAGACCTCATCATACAGTACCATACCAGAGTCTTTGCCATAAGATTGTTTAGAACTTATGAATCACGTAATTCATGTATTTGTAAAATCAAGTCGGCGGAAACTATGAATATTAATTCAACTTGGTCAATTGGAAGTCGTTCTGTACCAGGACTAATCTTGTAGAAATCGTATTCGATTCCTCAAGGCATATGTCGTTATAGTTAATTGACCTTGTAAAATGCCAGAGGAAAGGGGAACAAAGTGAAGCCTCTTCACTTTCAGCTAATTACAAAGCCTTTCAGAAGAGCCGAAATCACTGCCACTGGCATTATTACTGATCATTTATATTGATAATACCATGGGATTTCTTGTTGAAACATCTAATCTATACTCACGATCGGAAATATCTCTTAAATATTAGATATAAATAGATTACTTATGAGAACAGTTAATATACACTCAAGACTGGAGATATCGCTAAAATGTTAGATGTAGATTTATTACCAGAATATTCAGCGTCAGATCAGGGGCCCAAAATGGAGTATTGTTGTCATATGTGGACGGGAGCTGCCCAAACCACACTCCAAAGGCGTCTCCGAGCCCTTGTGGGTGACAAATTATTCTCTACCTTCGAACTTCTCTCCCATAGGTGGGATGTGGCAAGCGTCTCTCTGCTCTAACGCTAATTCCACGGAAGGTGCTCGATCTACATTCCGTGATCCCGTCAAGTCAAACCTTCATGGCAAGGACCCACCATGCCACTTATAGAGAAGCAAACCACTCACATTCTCTCCGTATTCCATCTTCTTACCGAGAACCACTGCTCTGTGTAACCAACTCCCAACACGATGTTTCCCTGATTACTACAATCTCAACATGTTCAAGGCTAGGATTAACCGTTACCATCCACTCCCATACGCACAAATGACCTCCTAACGTAACACTCTACCTCGAGTGACCCCTGACTTGTAAAGGGTGAACCTTACTGTGAAAAGAAAAAATATTCAATCTCGACAGATGATCGCCAATAACTTTTTAAATATTTGACGTCGATGCGCTCAGGAAAAACTTCATCATAACTGAAAATAAGAATTGCCTCTTAAATACAAGATCTACAAAGATGTGTTAGTGGAATGTGATTGCTCCTGACCTGGCATCTCAGCTTTAGTCACTTTCCCACTGCTATAACATAGTTTCCTGTACTTTTTCTATATTTTCATGGTAATTATTTTGTTGAACTTTCCTCTATGGTACCTCGACTTTATGAATTTTAGCGCAGTACTAGGTTGGCAGGTAGGTCTCATTTTACAGTTGAAATTGCTAGATGTAGCCGTAAATTTTATGCTTGCAGTTTCTTCTTCCGCAATTCGTTTGCGGATCTCATATCCGATTTCTTGCTTTCCAGTCAATTTTGATCTTCAAATTTTAAATGCAATGTCAATTATTATCTTCTTAATTCCTGTTCTTTTATTGTTCTTTCTCCTTGATAACCTTTTCTTTCACTCATATTCTTTCACACTCAATAATCCTTTACGTCTTAGGGGCTTTATTGCCTTGCTTAGATTGAAATGATTTTTTTAAAAATGGAACATGTACTCCAGATTAAAGATTGAGAGGCCACGTCAATATGTTACTGGGATATTTAATATCGGCTGAAGATTTGAAATCTCAGTTAAATATTGGACTTCTCGAAATTAGTTTCTGGATCATTTGATCTTGAATCAAGATAAGAAATAAGTTTTAGATATTAGATCTATACCTATTTTGGAATGGAATATTTAATCTAATTTTAAGATTGGGAATTTCTCTCAAATAGGATAAATTTGTTACTGGAAAAATGTATTGTAAGTTTGCAAAATTATTTTAAAACTAAAAATACACGTGAAAATTTTATGGTTTTCTATTTTAATTTTCTGTTGGATCTTAATTCTCAAGTTAATGATTGAAAAAGTCCATAGCGAATTCTACGACAATAAAATATCCGTAGAAAATTCCCCTTTTGCATCATTAAATATTTGAGCTTAACAACTTCAACTCATGGTAGGTATATCATAGTTTTATTCAGAATGAAAAGACAATACCCATAGATTACCAAAGACCAGCTAAAAATCGTAGACATAAATCTCAAGCAAGCGCTCAGTTCAGGGAACTAAGTGTCATTTTGTGCTACGATGGCACTTGATTTGACGTTGAAAAATGTTGTCACTAAAGGTGAACCTGTTGAAGGTAGAGAGTTTATGGTACCTTGACTTATCACCTGATCTCCTTCTGACGTCTTAACATTTTTCACATATAAAACCACTTCTGTCTATATTTATGAGATGTGTAACTAATTTACACTGTTTATATTGTAACTAATTTACACTGTTTACATTGTTTGGACAGTTGTCCTCATCTTTACTGACACATAAACGACGTTTTGACCATTGTACTCTTCTTCAGGTGATATTAATTGGAATTTTGAATCGAACCCTTTATTTAGTCCGTGGTGGGTAGATTATTCTAATTTCACGTGCCATGCCTTTTGGATATCACAATTTTAGATAATTCGCCTTGATAACTATCCGCTGAGGCAAGATATTGAACTAAAAATTCTTTGGGTCAAGTCAGTTTTTGGATCAATGAACCTACTCTTTTATACACTTATTTACAAGTTGGAAATTTCTCTAGTTAGGAGCGCAGTACAAAAAAAAATGATCAATCTTTTTAAAAAGTAACTAACACATTGCTGTCCTGGCGGAATAAAGTTATGGAGAATGGAAGTTTTTATTTACAGGTCAGGACGTAGGTTATCATGAATCTCCACAGGATCCTTTTCTTTATTATATGTAAATTGCTAGATTGACGGCAAGGTCTCAGCATTTTACAGTCGAACTGGCTAGATGTAACCGTAAGTCCTATGCTGATAGTTTCTCCTCTCGCACTTTTCACTTTTTCTCTCTTCCGGCTTCTTGCTTTCCGGTCAGATTTGATCTTCGAAAATTTAAATACAATGTTAATTGTTATCTTCTAAATTCTTTTATTGTTCCCTTTCCTTAATAATGTTTTCTTTTGCTTATAATCTCTCATAACCCCCCTTGCGTCTTAGTGTCTTTATTGCCTTGCTGAGACTAGAAACAAAAAATTATGTGGAAAAATCATCGGGTGATTTCCAGTGGCCTTCTTCGCGGTTTTGAATTCTTCTTAATAATAGACTGGCTGCCACCCAAGGTTAGAAAAAACAAATTGCTCTTACATGTTACTCTATATAAGTACGCTATAAGTAAGCTAGGAGGGAGAGAAATGGATTAACCCCTTCCCACTTGCATTTGTATAAATGTGTTAGTAAAAAAAAACTAGGCTTGAATTTGAACTTGGGTTTTTAACAGAAATATTTAGTTGAATAAATAATGTTTTATTAAAGTTTCTGATTTTGATTGTTTCATACTATGTGGTGTCGTTCTACAAATGCATAATGAAGCGATCAGTGATAGAATTTTGTACACGTAAAGGTAATTTATGACGAGTATTGTAACAAATTCCTGCCAGTTGGTCCAATATGCTAACAGCTTCAGAAGGGACCAAATAATTGTATTTGATGAACAATCTCAGTGAGGTACAACAACAAAAAAAAAAATCAAAGAACGGATTCAATATGACGAAAGACAATCGGTGCATTAAACAAGGGGACATTACTCAGAAGCTAAACATTACGCAAGAAAGAGGGAAACATCATTAAGGAGTGATTTGCAGATACATCTGTGCCAGATGGGTCTCACGACAATTGACAGATGCCATAAAGAAAGAAAAAAAAAGAACTCCTTAACTAATACTGTCTCAAGGAGAAGAATTTCTTTATGTATATTGCCGCTGGGGATGAATCTTAAGTTCATTATTATTAGCTTAAAAATAAAAGCCAATCTATGGAATTCCGTATCCACCTTCTTCAAGAATAAAGGAATACAAAACAATTCCATCAGCGTCAAAAGCAGATAAGCAAAGAGACACAGTAAAAATTCTAATTCACCCCATACAAGGCAATAAAGCCACTAAAACACAAGGGGTTACTGGGTGTGAAATAATTAGAAAACAAAAGCATTATTTAGAGGCGAGAACAATAGGAGAGTAATCAGGTATACAGGTAGATAAGGATTTACATCGCATTTAAATTTTTGAGGATCAAACCTGCCTTGAAAACATGGAGCCGGAAGAGAGTTCCACAAGCGAGAAGTGCGAGAAAAGAAACTGTTAGCATAGAACTTGCGGTTACATCTACCCAATTCAAGTGTAAATTTTTGAGGCCCTGCCAATCTAGTAATGCGTTTAAATTTCTAGTTTGTTGAAAAAATTCATGGATATTTTAGAAAAAGGCACCAGGGAAAAATATGAGGAAAATGAGATCTTTGTTTGCATCTTGATTCGTCATTTTTTAATTTAAATTTAGCAAGAGCACAGGAAGATGTGTAGCAGCAATATTTAATGCTTCAAACTTTCTAGTTTTGACTTTTCAATGACATAAGGTTAGAAAATTAGTTTACGCACTTTGATTCTATCTAGCAAATGTCTCGCTATATAATAATGATGTTTTTTTCAATGTACGAATAGCCACCTTTCAGATACGAAAATCTTAAGACTTTCGGTCTTGTGCCAAATCTAAGCTAAAAAAACAACTTATGCAAACTTCTTTTATAGTACGTAGAACAATGCATACATTTTCCTTTGTTTTTTTTGAAAAGATGCTTATTTAGTACATTATTTGAAAAACGTGTGGATACTTGGAAAAATATCGGGAAAATGAATCTTTGTTTGCATCTTGAGC